AAAAAAAAAAAAAAAAAAAAAAAGAGAACAATCTAAGCTACTATATAGAACAATCTAGTTAAAGAACCTCTGCATTGCAGTCTTTAATTGAATGATTTTTGTTTCGGCCTCCGATGCTTGCTTCAACCGTTCTTCACTAACTCTGTTCGCCTCTTCATATTTTTTCTCTGTTTCGCCAATTTTCTTTTCCAGTGAACATACCAACGCCTACAATTCACGACAAGGAAGCAAAAAATCAGCAGCTAAACGAACGAACTCATAATCAAAAGAAATTTAAAAGTATATTACCTTGAGCTTTTCATTTTCACCAGAAATTTTCTCGATTATCGCATTATCAATAACTGGAACCTCCTTCACAATTGGAATAATATCGGCAGCCTTCTTTGCAGCTTCTCGTTCCTTCTCGAACATCGTTCTTGTTTCTTTCAACTGAAGCTGCATATCTTGCAAAGCAGATTGCAGCTTCTCGTTTTCTTGTGTTTTAGCTTCTTCCAAATCAGCCTGGAAATGTTTGGCTCATTAGACATATTGAAAACTTTTAGATTTATCTCCTTTGACTGTTTAGACGCGCTTACCCTCATGCGCTTCTCCAACTGCAGTCTCCACGTTAATTCTTCGACTTGCTTTTCCAATTTATTTTTCGCGGCTTGAAGAGCTCCTGTTTCCTTTGCAGCCTACATTCAGAAAGAAGACAAGATGATGCCCACATTCTCAGCAGTGCCTTCTTGTTTTTGGAGACTTTAAGGAATATTGGTCGGAAGAAACAAAACACGTTAGAAAGGACAAGGTGATCTCACCATCTTCAGTTTCCGTAGTTCCTTACGAGCAACTCTTCCTCTCCATGCAGATTGAGTGGTGATTGCTGCTTTCTTTAACTTCTTATAGTGCAGCTGAGCCAAATATCTACGACAGTAGCTCTGTCGGACAGAAAAAGGAATCTTCTCACACACAAGAGCAGAGATGACTACAGAGTTCTGCTACATCGTATTCTACTAAAGAAAACTCAAAACAAATGAAGGATAAATTTTAAACCTGAATAATAATTGCTGCTTTAGACCGCCTTCTGAAGCGTAGCTCATTGCGAGCAGCCATTCCACGCATTCCAGTTTGAATAGAAACAGCTGAAGAGTACTTTTCTTTGTAAGCTTTCCTGCAGATATGCATGCGCAAATTCCTTTGAATCATTATAGAAGAAGCTTCTCTCCTCATGCCCTCAAATACTTGTCGAGCAAGTTGTCCTGAAACCAACATAGGAAAATACTCGGTAATTCTCGACTGATTACGAAGAACTTCTTATGAAAGTAGGTCCATCAGCGCAGAGATGTGTTAAACATGATTTATTACCTCTACATGCAGATTGTAGATGTGTAGCTGACCTCCGAAGTAACACAAAACTTCTACGTGCCAAATAAGAACGAACTTTCCGCTGAATAATACTTGCAGATCTCCCTAAGATCTCAGTCCTGAGTGCATCAAGTTCAGCCATCTGACCAGCTCTAAGAAAGACTTTTGTCTTACCGATCTGCCAGAATATGTTATATTTGTAAGATAACACACTAGAGTTTATACTTCAGTTAACCGCTCGGGAAAACTCCAATAAAGAAAATGTAAATCATTCCACGGTTAAAACTAAGGAATTGATTTGATATCAAAAGAACAAACAAATATTGGTATATGGGAACTACTTGTGAAAATGGAAGTTCGAGATCGTGAACATAAAGTACTGAGCTTGTGAACAACGACAAGACCTAAATTCGATCTCTCATCAAACAATTACCTGGTATCCTTTAAGTCCAACCTTCTCTAGAAGCCTCTTGCAAGCAGCCACTTCATCAGAACTAACAAAATAAAAGTCGAAGAAAGTCAGAACCACCAATCGTTAGACATAATCTGCAGTCTGAAAAGCCACGGACCAATTATACCTTCCATCCAAAACTTCGGGTGCAAGGAGTCCAAATCGGTCAACAAATTCATCAAATGTTTTCCTTGTTGGAAAACCAGCACAACTTATCCTAATTGCCTCCATGACTCCCTAATGTAAAGACAATGAGCAATAACATTTTGATAAAGATGCTTTTATTTGACAGAAGATGCTTCTAGTTGGCAGATTCATTCATGCGACACCGAGCGTGTACAGCAGTGGTAATCACAACCAAAGGTTAGAGTTTACTTCAGGCTATTTTTGAACCATATGCTCGACCAGCAGTATTGAGGGAGGAAAACGCACATTAAAAAACACAGTGTTTCCGAGTGTTTTATACAGATGTAACTAAACATCATGAAAATTTTGTAAACATTATAATTAGTTCAAATTAATTTTAGAAAATTGAAAAACAGTTCCACACGGGATTGTTTTTTTTTTTAAAGAAACGACAAGCATTATTTTTACTTTTTTTTCCGTATCGATGAGTGTCCAAGTCAGCTTGTATGCACCTTAACAAATCTCAATGGACAATTGACTAAAACTACTACATTTGGTTGGCAAGAAACAAGTATGATACTAAATTTCATGTAGAAACAAGGAATATACTCTTACCCCACATCGTAATTGTTGTAATATATTTTGATTCTCGAAGATAGAAGGCTTTAGAAGATTATTGGGCTTTACACATCGAATGTAATGGGGCTCAGTAGCACTTAGAGTTTCCAGAAGTGCTACCAATTGCAGCTGCAAGAAGGAAAAATGAGCTCCTTATAAGGAAAAAGACCAAAACCAAAATCAAATATCACAATTCCTAATGGAGAGCTGTATCAGACCTTGAAACGAGAACCTATTGATGAGAACTTCGAAGATTTGGATGATTCTTCAGCTAATGGAGGAAACAAACACGACACAAAGGAGCATTTGGAGGCACCCAAGAGCGCTTGATGTTCAGCAACAACGTAGTCTTTATTTTTGTCCAGAAATAAATCGGTCTGATAGGTGACCTGAAAATCATTTGACAAATTAAATGCAAGTGTTTCGACTTCAAAGGATGTCACTTCTTTTTTATCCATGAATAAGGGATGAGAAGCAGACATTATAGGATAATGTGAGTGTATTTTCGGAGAGAAAGAGATGAAATACTCACATCACCAGCATAATGAACAATGGTGAAGTCACTCCGGGCTAATTTTGGTTTGCTGAAGCGTTTATGGTTTTTGAATGTCTGATACAACTTTTGAGCAAATGTTTCATGAGTTGATCTGGGGAACATACTGCAAATGACAAGCACAAGCCATCTTATTGAACTGCACATCATAGACATTGACACAAAGCAACGAAAATGCTTACAGAAATATCGCTACACTTACCAAGCTTCATCCAGAAGGGCAATGATACCACCAGGTTTCTGAAATTGAAAATGATTAAGAAATAAGGGTTATAAAGATAAATCCTCAAGTGATAATCTGTGTGTATACGTGAAGAAGATAATCAAGACGAGAGAAAATGAAAGCTCGGTAGCCTTTAAAAGACAACGTCCAAGGACAACTACAGGTAATAAATGAAGACTCGATTGAGATGAATCGGTATAATAAACACACGAATACATTGTACTGCATAACATACAACAAACCTTTTCAATGAGATCAAGGACATCTTGATTATCAACAAAATCAATATAACTCCAATCAATTTCCTCTTTAGTGTACTCTTCTTGCTCCATCTTGAAAACATGCTGTTTGTTAAAGATACAAGTGTTGAGAATATGCAGAAAATTAAAAAAAGAAAACGACGAATAGTTAAACCTGAAAAGAAAATCAATATGCTTCGTTTCTACCTGATTGAAATGCTGCTGAAGCTTTTCATTAGTCAAGTTGATGCAAAATTGCTCAAAACTGTAATATTTAAAGGAGATTAAGAATCAGATAAGAAACTAATGAGAAATGCTTCTGGAATGGGAATTGTAAGCAAATAGAACTCCTACATTACTTCATAAAGTTGTGACGATGTAACAGTCCAAACTCACCGCTAGTAAATATTGTCCCCTTTTGGTCTTTTCCTTTCGGGCTTCCCCTCAAGGTTTTAAAATGTGTATCCTAGGGAGAGGTTTCCACACCCTTATAAGGAATGTTTTGTTCCCCTCTCCAACCGATTGGGATCTCGCAATTTACCACTTTTGGGGCCCAGCGTCCTCGCTGGCACATCGCCCGGTGTTAGGCTCTGATACCATTTGTAACAGTCCAAACCAACCACTAGTAGATACTGTCCTCTTTGGGCTTTCCCTTTAGAGCTTCCCCTCAAAGTTTTAAAACACGTCTCTTAGGGAGAGGTTTCCACACCAATGTTTCGTTCCCCTCTCCATCCGATGTGGGATCTCACAAACAAACTCCCCCTAATGCGAGAATAAGAATAGTAAGTTTCTAAATTTCTAAGTTATAGATCATGTTTTTGATATTATGCCATATTTTGGGAATTAGATCTTTTTCGTATTCATATTATGATTTGAGATTTATCTTAAGCGGGGGTAGATTATTCTTTAACTCTTGTTTTATATTATAAAAAGGCTATTATGAAACGTTGGTCGGTTATTCTGTATTCTCTTCCGACTTCTTTTTCCTTAATTTTCCTTTCTCTAAATTCACGTTATAAAAGGAAAATCTATTGAAATTTCTAATGGGCATTTCAATCCTAGTGTTATCTAATTGAAATTTTATTGTTTTTAGAATTAACAATTCAAAAATGTTATTTTTATTTGAATAAGGCTTTTTTAATGAGAAATCCTTTGGCTTCTCTCTTTTATCCAAGAAAAAGGCATACCGGATGAGCACCTGTTAGTCTTGAAACTCTCAAATCCATAGATATCCAGCACTCCAATCAAGAACTTTGAATCAGGGTCCTGACCAATTGAATTATTAATTTTGTCCACCAGCCTGCGAAAAGGAACGTTAAACGTATTTTAAAACTATATACGTTAAACGTTAAACGTTAAACGTATCTCGTATCTTTTCTTTAGAGAGAAGACTCACCAATCAAACAACCTAGAGTATACAATTTTTGCCAGAGCATCTCGGCTAAGAGCTGCAGAATTCGGATCCAGCCACTTTGTGATAGTTTCATCACGAGTGACGATCACACGTTTGCAGAGAGAATCTTCCAGGGCCTTTTCATCACACCTGGATAAAAGTTGTTGTCATCAACCATTTAATGGTGCCATCATTCTTCCAAAATCTGCTTTTCACTCAAAGAAGTTGTGCACTTACATGAAAAGCTCAGCAGCAGTTCTAAGATGGAACCAAGATTTTTCATCTTTGGGAACAGAAGAATCAGCCTCCTTCCCTTTTGCAAATTCTATGTTTCCAAGATGAAGAATTGCAGCCACGACACGAAAAATTCCATCCTGGAAGGAAGGAAGAACGAAATGGGGGGGGGGGGG